CCGAAAATGTATGAGAATATTTGAATGAATCTTCAGTACTATTATGTGTATTGATGTAAGACAGAATCTTGGGTTCTTCTTTGACACATTGCCTGTGTTGCTTTGTTTGTGTTTCCAGGATCAAACAGTGCACAGTTGTGACTATGGACGACCTGGTCACGGTGCACCATGAGATGGGCCACGTCCAGTACTTCCTGCAGTACAAAGACCAGCCTGTGTCTTTCCGCGATGGAGCCAACCCTGGCTTCCATGAGGCCATCGGCGATGTACTGGCTCTGTCTGTGGCTACACCCAAACATCTACAGAGCATCGGCCTCCTGGACAAAGTTGAGAACAACCCTGGTGAGTTGTCCTGATATAATACAACGTAGTGTCAGTGCATGGGGTGTCACAACACAGCATTTACCAATGATTTTGATGTTTCTGACAGAGAGTGATATCAACTTCCTGATGAGCATGGCACTTGACAAGATCGCCTTCCTGCCTTTCGGCTACCTGATGGACCAGTGGAGGTGGAAGGTATTTGATGGACGCATCCCATCGACTGAGTATAACAAAGAATGGTGGAACCTCAGGTAAAGTTCATCAGTTCTTTTACAGTTATCAAGTGCAATGCTAATCACAATGAGTCAGTGGTTTATAGAGTATGGAGTAAATTGCCTTTGTAAAAGGTTTACTTTAGTAGCTATGACAATATACTTCATTTGCATTGCAGAATGAAGTACCAGGGACTGTGTCCGCCTGTAGCCCGCACTGAGGATGACTTCGACCCAGGTGCAAAGTTCCACATCCCTGCTAATGTGCCCTATGTCAGGTAAAATTTCCTGATTCTACAGAACAAACAAAGAACATGATAATCGCGTACAGACAGACTGATAACTGTTTCCAATCATCTATGGATAGATAAGATAAATGCACGGTTAAACAGGATGTGCTCGTAGTCACAATGGCTCCAAACAATCAGTCACCATTAGGACCAAGGGGTGTAACAGTACCAGTACCAGATTTTCTCTGCCACTGCAGCACAATCCTGACTTGTTTTATGATCTTTTATTCAGGTACTTTGTTAGCTTCGTCATCCAGTTCCAGTTCCACAAGGCTCTGTGTGAAGCTGCTAAACATACTGGGCCTTTGCATACCTGCGATATCTACCAATCTAAGGAGGCTGGGAAGCTGATGGGGTTAGTATGCACATATACACACACACCGAAGGGTGCCCACCTATAACCATGTTTGTTAGAGGATGGTTCTAAACCATTGATAATAGTGCTATAATGTCAAATATGTAAAGACAGACGTAAAGACAGTGATCTCAGTTAGTAATAATACTAGCTATTGATAATATATAATAATTATCTAATATATATGAATACAAGTTATATTTCTGCTTTTTAATAGTTGAAAACATGTAACATGTGTGTAATTATCTCTGCATCACTGAACCTGATCTCCTCTGACCTTCTCTCTGGTTTGTGTTGCTGTCTGCAGTGATGTGATGAAGCTGGGCTTCAGTAAACCGTGGCCTGAGGCGATGGCCATGATCACCGGCCAGCCCAGTATGAGTGCCCAACCACTCATGGAGTATTTCCAACCTCTCATTGATTGGCTGGAGAAAGAGAACGACAAGAACCACGATGTTCGTGGATGGCCCGACTACGACTGGAAACCGTCAAGTATGTCCAGTAGATTAACGCATTCACATACTTTGTTACGTCTACAGAAAAACATGCATGTATTTGCGGGAAATTCATCTTAAATAAGTTTTCCATTGTTAAAGCCAAATATTTTTGAACTTCTTCCCAGAAAGAAAAGGCATAATGTATTCACACAGAGGCATTCATTTTGTTTTTCTCCTCCGCTGAAGCTGACTGTGAAATCAATCTCCTGCTCCTCTTGTTTTACTGATGAGATCCTGTTGAAAGGATGTATACAGATTAGACTGATGAAATTATAAGCAACAGAGTGAAAGGAAGAGCTGGGAAGAGATAGTGGAAAAAAGAGATCACAGCTGTGGTTGAAGAGATCAACTGAGGAATTTTGAATTCATGCAAAAAGACACAAATAAGTGTAGAAATGATATAAATGAGGTAAATGAAAGTAGCTTTTTCTTTACATATCAGACAAATAGCAAGTTGCCCCGCATTTGACCTTTTTTTGATGATCATTATGAGATGTGTTTTGTGAAGATTTTATTTTGAGGAGTTTCAGACCTATTCAGTCCAACCTGTGCTACCTTCCTGCAATCAGACTAATAGTTCCAGCAGTTTAAAGATATATGAATGTGCCATCTGTTGGCAGCACAAGTCAAATCTAGTCTAGCTAAGTAAACAGTGTGTATTAAAAGTGCGCTTTTCTATTTTTTGAGCAGCTATTTGTGTGTTTGAGGTTCACATAACAAGAGTGAAGAAACGTTTTCTGCTGAAAATAGAAGCGCACAGCTGTCACACTACTATGAGTGCATCCCATTGTCCTTATTGTACTTTGCAGACAAAGTGCAGACAGAGTGTACAAAGAGTTGGGGTGGGATCAGAGTTTTTTTTTTTGCCATTGTGGGTTTTTGGGCCATGAATATTTGGACTGTAAACTTGGGAACAATTGAAATATTCTCCTTCTTCTTTTTGTGTCACTCTCACAACAAATATTTTACAAAATCTCAAAAATATGATAATATTAGTGGATGTCCCACAGTCGTGAGCTTAATTTAACATCCACGGGTGCTCAGTTTGCATCAATTATTATATCTTATGGAAAGCAAGACGTACAAAATAGATAACTACAAAAGCGCACACAAACGCACTCAGACAAACAAATATCAGGCTGTAATAGCAGAGAAACAACATGGATGTGATATACATTATATACTGACAGTGACAAGATGTCAGCTTTCAGTTACTTTTGTTGCCCTGTAGGTGGCGATGTTAGCATATGCACATATTTAAGTTGATGTAGCAAATCAAAATATGTGCAGGTGTGTGTTTGAGTTGCTGTAGCTATTGCTTTCCTTCCCTACAGCTTTCACAAATGCGGAAGAAGCTGTTTGAAAATAACTGAACAGCGCCCCCCTGTGGAGAATCTGCAACTTGATAAATATGAATGGATGAGCAATAAAACTATCCAACATGTTTCTTATTCAGTACTTTCTGTGTGTCTCCTACAGCGGTTGACACCAGTGAGAGCACCTCAGTGGACTTCCTGGGTATGAATGTGGACAGTGCAGCTGCCGTAGCTGGACAGTGGGTCCTGCTGGTCATCGGCCTGGTCCTCCTGCTGGCGACCATCTTTCTTGGGTACAAGTACAGCAAGTCAAGAAAGCCGGAAAAGTCTTTATCCACGATGGAGCTCAAGCAAAAAGACTAGGCATCGGTGACGGCTGAAGGGCTAAAGTAAGGCCTGACTTACTGTAGCTAGCACATTATCAACCTCAATGTGAACATCAGTGTTTTTGTGTACCGCAGTACATCCAAATAAATTTGCTCCTGTTTTTTGGTCTTCCTCCCTTTGTAGTCTTGTATATTTATTGTATACACTCAAATTATTTTTTTGCCTATGCAAAAGAACATAACAATTTTGTAATTTATTTGTAATATTTGAATGTTTAGGGAGGATATGTTTTTAAAAAGATTGTTTGTAAAGTCATTCATCATGTACACATTTTTGAATATTTGATTTGTTTTTCTTTGTTAAATCCTCTGCATTTCTATAATAAAGACATTAAATATTTATTCTGCTTGTGTGTTTTCGAATGTTCTAATAAGTGGATGACGAAGATTGTTAAAAACAATTTAATTACATTGAAACTGCACAGTACAAAAAAAAAAAAACACCGCCACAGAAAACAGAGTTTGTGCATTGGTTTCAGCCCTTCCCTCTTTACTCACAGAGTCAATGGAGCCTCTGTAACGGCCACAGTCACACAACAGAGTACCTGCGGGCTCTCAGGTAACACGGACTAGAGCGGTAACGCAACACTTGGTCCCATCAGAGACCGTTCTCTCAGTCCAGTCTCTTCAGTGCTGCACATTGACCTCAATGGGGGCCACAATGGCTTGGAAACAATCCAAGACTCAGCTTACTGTCTTGTATAAAAAAAATACAAAGCTTAGCGACAGTGAACGAACAAAGGCCAATCACATATGCATTCATCTAACATAACGTGTACAATTTATATGTACCTATGTATGCTGGAGCTTAACATCTCCAAGTTCCATGTGTTGTTTAATCCAGTGTTGTGACTCCCAGTATAAGATTCTCAAGGTATCCACATGTATTCGCTCAAGATGGTAATAATAAATAGTAATCAAGTGTTCTCCCATGGTAATTATACATACAGATATGAAGCTTTTGCTTTTTAACTTGTTACAAAGCTTTGTTGTGGAATTTACTGTGGGGCTATTACAGCATGTCCACTGGGGCTATTAAGTGTATTACTCAATCATAAGTGAAAGCATGATTTCCTAGAATCAGAGAAACAGTGCTTCTCCCTAACCTAAAAAACATGTCAGTGCCACAGCTGTTACTGAGTTTGAGAAACGTGTGTGTAATGCTCGTCCAACACCGACATACACATTCACATGAAGACATCGCTTGTTCACTCATAACTGAGTGGATGCTGGCCAACATATTCTAAGTGCAGTTTAAAAATGATCTGCAAAGCAACAACCACGGAGCGCAAAGTGATTTCTTGGGACAGAGCAGGAAGGACATATAATCACAGAAAATCAATTGACTCATTCCCCTGATTAGGAAAAAAAAAACAACAGGCATAGTGAAAATAAACATGACAAATGACCAGCAATTTTTCTCAGAGGGTTCACAGAAAGAAAAAAAAAAGACAAGACATAAAACTATACATGCAGACACAATGTTCAGTACATTATAACATAATCGAAACAATTTACAATTTACTCTTGAATGCAACCCAGATTCCAATGTACAACACTGCATTCATGAAAAATACTTTGCAAATTACAATCTCTGAAACAAAATGTTCAGTATATTGCACGGAAAAAGTTGTTGAAATCTGCTAAAAATTTAAAATAAAATAAAAATAAAAAATGGAATGCACTATGCGCAGTTGGTCCATGCCCTGCAAAGTCCATGTGGCTCGATCAAGCCCAGTGTCCTTTGTTTGGCCCGTGTCGAACTAGAGCGACAGTGAGTGGTTCAGGGTTCAAAGCAAAAGGCCTCAGTAGTAGTAATGCTGCATCTCTGTCCAGTTGGTGATCCAGTACTTTTTCTGCGGCTCCTCAGGCTGAAATCCCAGATTAAACTGATAGCGCTCAGCCCTGCGAATTTTCACCCCCTGGTGCTTTGGCATTATCCGGTAGTAGATGGCTCGTTTGAAGAATCCAAGCTAGCAGAAGAAGAGAGAAGACGAAGGTGGCATTAAAGGGGATACGCAAAAAAAAAAAAACAGCAGGAGAGCTGGGATTAACGACAGGCTGAGAGGAAGAGTTAGGATTCAGAGGCGGAGGACAATTGAGTTAGGTGACAGAAACACCCACGGTATCCTACTGAGTGAGATGGAAGAGGAAGATAAAGTAGCAAAAAGAAAGGACATTAGGTGGTCCTTACAGAGCAAATTAGCCTGGAAAGAAAGTGGAAGAAAAAGTTAGTTGGATTAGAAGAAGCTAGAAGTGGCAAAAAGTGAAGCGGCAAGTTGAGTCACACCCCAAGCTTAGTGTTGTTGCTTAAGCCCTTTTCAGACATGCCAGACATTGCTGACCAATCTGTTTAAGCAACAGCATTTGATTGTTCTGATATAAGTTTTCCATTAATGTTCCTCAGGGCTTGATTCAGACAAACCCATGATGGAGACGATATTTTCATTTCAGAGTCTGCTGTCTCTGGGTTTCCGGAATCATTTCTAATAATAAGTACAAGTAATCAAAAATGATCATAGTTTATAATCAGAATCACCGTTGTTTCAAACGCTCATGGGGACCATGCTGCTGTCTGATGTTGCAAGTATTTAATAAACTCAAACAGCTGGAAGCGACAACTAAACTTCATGTACCGTGAACGCATTTTAAAAAAATAATAATGAAAAAGAAAACGCTTTACGTTCATTTTTTCTAAGTATCATAAAGCTGACCTGTTAGTCTTTGTTTTCGTCATAGTTCATTTTCATTTTGAAGAACATTTCACTTTATGGCTTAAGAGGTGTGAAATTTAGAGCACAGTGAATTAGAAACGTGTGCTGTGATTCTGGCAGCATACGTTTCTTGGTCCGACCTCGTAGGATTATTGCAGCTTTAACGTGAGCAGAGTGCTGATTCCGCCATGAAGCCAACATCTTCAGTTGTTGCCAGATTAATAGAAATGACCACATGTCTGAAAGGGGCTTCACAGTATCTACAGAAAATCCATTCGAAGGGGTGTTTTTACCCAAAAGCCCCAATGGCGTGTGCTGTTGGGAGACACATGGGAGCCTCAGTAGTCTTCAGTCAGCCTCTCTGTCTCAGAGGGCTGGATCTTCATCTCAGCCTTCTGGGCCTTGGCCTCATACATCTCCCTCCTGCTGGCCCTTTGGAAGAAGCCACACTGGGGGTGGAGGAGGAGGAGGAAGTGGGTGCATGAAGGGGGGGAAGTCAAAGGTTAGACTAATGGCTCTCTGATGAAGTTTATAGATCAGTCAAATGAATGGGTCGGCAGCTAATCCAAAGAAAGTGTTTGGTGAGGGTACATGTGGAGAGATTCAGAGGTATTCAAAATTTGTGTCTGCATAAATACGGCATGTACGTACAAGAGTGCCGTCAGTCTCACCTTCCATAGTATAATAATGATGATTCCTAGTAGTAGGATTCCTGCTATAGCTGCAGAGATGATGATCCATAGGGGGAGCTCATAGGGTACCTCCACTCCCTCCACTGGTTCTATTTCTACTGCGAACTACATTAAAGGAGGAGAAACTCATGTCAAATCATTCTTGTTATTAGCATTATCCTTGTCATCGTCATCAATACGCACCATGGTGGTCTGTCTGTTCATCTTTAATGTCGGTTTATCTGTAATGAGCTTCAGCGTTGCTTGACCTCTGACTGTAACTCTCAGCGCATTGAAATAGTCCTGCAGGGTAACACACACACACAACATCAAAACATTTTCACAAAGAAGCCAAAACTTGGAGAAGCTCAGAGCTCATGTAAACAGTTTCACACCAAAGAAAGGACCTTGTAGACTACTGTTTGCCCTGCTCTAGTCTCACATTACAAGGTCTGTACCAAGCATTTGTGTTGGTCCATTATTGGTCCATATCTGCAACACCTTAAAATTTCTAAAAAGCTGTCCTAAACAACATTTTTTTTGGTGTGTGTTGAACGTGTGGATGTAGCTGGTGGGCTGACCTCCAGCATTGTGCTGTTCCACAACCTGGACCGGACATAGATCTTGGCTGATTTGGTCATGTTGAGCAGTGGACAGGTAAACGTCACGCATTTTGCCGTCGCCTTGGAGCAATCCTTCAAGACAAAATGACAAAGAAGCACGATTATACAAGTGAACAAATATTGAGAGTTACACTATTTTTGCTTCTGCAGAATTTGTTTTCAGGACGCAAGACATCTCACAGGATTTGACGGTTTAGAAAATATGCGTCTACAACTTAGTAATAACTTAACAGTTAAGTCAGGTATACTGTTTTACTGCATCTGTAAAAACATGCACCACATTATATTTTGAGGGAACCAAAGATTGTTTATTTTTAAAAAAAAGTGGAAATAGCCTGAGTGATATCACCCATTGGTTCATTTGTGACCTCAAGTTTGGGAATTTGGCTATTGCTATCTTAGTCTTTTGAATCCAAATGTGATGACTGAGAGGTAGGTCTGGCTGACAACCTGGCAGAAGTTAGTTTTGTAGGTATTTGTTGTTTGCACAATGACCTGAAAGTAGCACTAATATAGATAAAAAGCCAGAGAAGTTATGATAGTTCATTCTGACGTAGGTTGAATATAGGTACCACAATTCACGCAAATCCATCCAACAGCGGTTGACAGTTCATTCAGAATCACTAGTTCCAAAAAAAAAAAAGGACAATAGGTGTGTCTGTGAAAAAACAAATCATGGCAAACCATGCAGCAGCAGTTGAGATTTTTCTGTCTGGACCATAGACCATAGATAAAAGATGGATGTAACCATGACGTCACCTACTGGTTTGTGGACCACACTTTAAAGCCTCAAGTTTGGAATTTAGACCTCACTATGGTCTTTTTAAACCAGACATGACGAGCGAGGGGCGGATCTGACTGAGAACTTGTGGACACGTTACATCCCTATGTGGTAGTGACATGTCAGACGCAAGAACGCCACGTTTTACTACCACGGAAACTAGTGATTGAGATGATAAACTTATTAGGAAACTATTTACTGAAGGAAAAAATCAATTAAGAAGTAGAGTCATTTTCTCATTGACTTCTACACAATCACACTTCTTTTTGCTATCAGAGGAGTCGACCCCTGCTGGCGACTGGAAAGAATGCGGGTCTAAGTCATCTCTGCATTGGTTTCAATTTTCAAACCCAGAGCCTTTGTCGAGTCTTTTATATAAAGTCTATGGAATAAACGTAGGCTGTTGCTAGCAGTGGTTAACCACACTATAGTAGTGTGGCTTTAGGAACGGCAATGTTTGCTCTGTCAGTCAGCCTGCCACTTTGGTCCAGACTGAAACATAATACCAACAATTGGATAGGTTGCCATGAACTTTTCTACAAACATTTATGGTCCCCAGAGGTGAAATAATTCTGACTTTGGTTATTCCTTGATTTTACTTTTAGTGCCACCAGCAAGTCAGCACTTGTAATTTAGAGTGAAGTGTCTGAAAATTCGATTACAATGAAATTTAGTGCCAAACATTTGTGGTCTTCAGACTTTAGAATCACCAATTAACCTCAGCATGTTTTTGGACTGTGGGAGGAACCCGGAGAACCTGGAGAGAACCCACGCTGCACGAGGAGAACATGCAAACTCCACACAGAAAGATCCCAGGTGTCCGATCTTCTAGCAGTGCACCCCAACTTGGTGATCACTTTTGTAAAAATCCTCCGGTGTATGAATTCTACTCTTCTGATGATCATGTTTTAATATTACTTGCGGCACCATTCAGCTTGAAAGTTGCTACAAGTTCTCATTTTGTTCCTCTTTGTGTTGCTCTTCCCTTGCACTCGCTCCGTATATGGGAAAGCAACGTCACAGTTGACAATCATCTGCTGGTGATGTGACTTTGTCTTAGCTAAACGTCTGTCTGTCACACTTAGGTAGTCAAATGTGGAGACCTCACTCTGACAATCAAATACAATACATCTAGTAGCACATGAGGTCTACGGTAAATCCATTTCTTACCAACAGGTAGGACTCTTTGCGAGGACCCAGCAATGTGATGGCCGCCTGTGGCTCAATAACACGTGGCCGGGTCGGATCAGCTGGATCATCCACTACGATCTGCCGTTTAGTACGCTTATGTCCACTCTCTGACAACTGGAGGACAAGAGAGGGAGAAAGGGAAAATGAAAGAAGGAAGAAGAGGAGACAGAGACATTACATCAGAGAACTAATTACTGGTTTTGATAAAGACATGACCAAATTCTGCCCAGAATAGCATTTGTCATTTCTATGGTCTATATAAAGGCCGCACGCATTGTGATTTTCTATTTGGGGCTTTGTGAGGTTTGTATGTGGCGACACTGATGTTTTTTTTCCAAAATGTATTTCTGAACAGTGGTTTGGCACTGAGACCATTTTCACACCACTTTTCTACCGCTGACGTTTATTCATACGGCTCAGACTGCTTCAGCTCTGACGTCAGGATTAATTACAGCACATGTAACAAGTCTGTGAACAGCTCACACACACTCGACGGCAGTCAGGCTCAAGCACATTTAACTATGTTTTATAAATATATAATATGAATATAAAGTGTCACACTGCTTTATTTTCTCTAAGCCTCTGGAATAAGGAAGCCAATGTGTCAAAAATATTCCCATTTTTATAAAGAAAAGTGAAGTGAATCTGATAAACTCATCAAAAAACTTCAGAATACAGGAATATCCAAAGATGTTTTTCATTTCACAAGTTTAACTGTTGGACAAAAGCTGTCTCTTACTTCACTGTGAAGTTAATTTTGCACAATGGAGGCTTCAGGTTCCCATATCATACTTGTGCATGCTAAATGTGAGACTAGGACTGGCTTTCAAACTGCTGGTATCGTAACAAATCATCCTCAGACAGAAAATGTAAACTTTCATCAATGAACGTGAAATCAGCCTTCAAGTGTCAATCTCTGCACATTCTGTACAGTGAAGCCCAAACATTCCACTGTAGGAAAAAGAAGAAAGCTAATTTTGACTTGAGGGGGACTTTAATTTGTGTCAGACTTTGGTTCATGATGTAATGTCTCCCTGCAGCACTAATGAAATTACTGTCATCCTGAGCAAGATTTCCAAGATATTTGGGGATAAACTTGGCCAACAATCCAAATAATGTGACAAAATAATGTGACTATTAAGGACAAAGCAATATTTTGGCTCTAAACCAAAGCCTAAGAAAAGAACCTTACAGTTAGGTTAAGCTCGTTGACAACGTCTCCACCTGGGTTACACTCCGTTTCTGATTCCCCCTTAACAAGGATCTTCGTCAGGTACAGCAGCCACTTGCCATTGGCGACCTCAAAGGGCCACTCAAACTCCACCGCCAGCGTCCCCATGTCTCCTAGCGGTTCTCCAGTCATGTTCACCTGGTAACAAAAAATCAGCAACAGCTCAAACACACACACACAAAAAAAGAACTTCAGCAGATCTGATTGTGTGAAATAACAATAGGGTGTAAAATAACAGAACTCCTAAACAGCATCCACCCCTGCACATGCTTACACCACAAACCAATGGCTCACATAATAATCCCTTCCCCACGCAATATTAAACTTCTGAAGGGCTGGCTTCAAAGACAGGGTGTGGATGAGGGAAATGTGGGTGAGCAGAACACACGTTATAGATGCAATATACGATCCTGGAGGTCTAATATAATCTCTGAGCGGTGGACGTGACTCACGACGAAGGTGAACTCCACCAGACTGCCCACGTCACTGGTGTTGACCATGGCTGACTCGCCCATCACCGTGCCACCAAATTTAGTTTGCACCAGTTGTTTCTCTCTGGATAGAACAAGAGTGAGAAAGGATTTTTACACTGTGCGAGAGAAGAAAACTGATGCGGAAGATAATGTGATGTGACACTTCAGCGTCCATGCACGTTCTTGGCTGTATGTACAGGACGTCATGAGCTGTTATGTAAAGGGACTCACATGGAGAAGATGGGGAGGATGGTGTTTTCTATCAGCATGGCCACAGGCACAGGCCGCAGGTCACTCTGCTCACTGAGACTGAAGAAATGAACCTTGTTACAACATTGTGTCCCAGCGTTTATATATCTAGTGGTTATGTATGAGTCATAACACCAAGGAACTACTAGCAATACCAAGGAATTGAAATAAACTTTCCTTCAGTTACAAAAAGAGGAACAGCTATAAAATGCAATACTGTGGCGTCAAACTGGGTCACAGAGATAAAAAGGAAATCTAAAGTTGTTCCAAAAACATTGTACAGTCTTATAGACACTTGTTCTCCATGTTTAGATGTAGGTAAAAAAAATACAAAATACAAAATGCAACAACAAAATGAAGCTCTTACGTTGACAGGAGCAACTGAGACTCGATCTCTTCTGTGTACAGGTTGATCCCTGATGGCTGGAAGTTGATCTGCAGAGACACCTAGTCGTGATGGCAAGCAAACGAGAAGTGTGAGCACATTATTAAGTCAAAATCCGGGAGATAAAATGAGCTATTCAAACCTACGTTTTCGTTGCCTTTGAGTGGATTCGCCAGGTCACAAATGACGTGGGGAAATGTAGGGTTAAACTCGCATCGCACATCATGGTCCTAAACACACAATATACATGTTAAACCCAAATATTAATTGTTATTATTGAAGGAGACCAAGTGGCTGGAGATGCATGTGTAAGTATGTGTAAAGATTTAAGTGAAGCCATTTTACATCTTTACGATAATCAGAAAGAATAATTATACAATGTAAGCAATTCGCAAAAAAAAAGAAAAAAAAAAATCATTGTAAGAAACTGAATGTGCATTTCTCAGTCATCTGCTGCCCTCCAGTGGACATACCGCCGCAGATCGGACACCAGAGTATTTCAGTGCATCAGGGATGGTGATGTTGACCTCCGCCTGGTGGGCGTCCTCAGCCAGCTTCCCGGGAGCAGGAGCGTTTGTCACCACCACCTGCAGCTTCAATAGCTTTATATTGCTGTTGAACTGGAGCACCTGGAATTTGCCCTTCCTGGACACAGACAACACAGAAGATTTGTTGGCTTTTCAACTATCTAATGATCATTGCACTACTCATTTGTTACATCCATCCATCCATCATCACACTCACATTCACACCTCAGGACAATTTAGAATCACCAATTAACCTCAACATGTTTTTGGACTGTGGGAGGAAGCCGGAGAACCTGGAGAGAACCCACGCTGCACAGGGGGGAGGAAACATGCAAACTCCACATGGAAAGATCCTGGGCGTCCTAACAGGGACGCAAACCAGGGATCTTCTAGCTGCAAGGCAGCGGTGCTAACCATTGAGCCACCTTGCAGGCCCTTGTTATATGTAGAGGAACAAAAATAACCCAAACTGTTTGCTCTAACCACTTTCTGCAAAAACCAAAACAATCTGCACTTCTCTATAAACCCTGAAGCCATGATAGGCTCAGCTGTGACCAACAGTCACATCACAACAATTCAGGGACTTTTTGGCTGAACTGCAGGCTGTGTTTTCACCGAGCAGAAAGGAAACGCACATGGAAAGAGACCTAAAACTGAAGTAGTAAAATATCTATAATATTCAGACCCACTCTTTTTCTAATATTGATAACATCTGTGGGCAATTGGAACAATGTTGTTTGATTCCAGATGTTTTTCTATTTAAAAATAAAAAAAATAAAAAATCTAAGAAATGTAACTTTTGCCTTTTCTTTTTTATGATTCATGGCGTTGCAGCTGAGTCATACTGCACAAAAGACATTTTTAAGCTCTCTATACTTCAAGCTATGTTTCTGTAGAGATGCAGAACTTCATACGACAGTAAAAAAAAGGAGCCCACACTGAGTAAAAAGGTGGAAGAAGAAATAAAAGCCCAGAAATTTCTTCAGAGGGTTACAGCACCATGAATTGGTTTAACATTTCGGGTTCTTGACAACTCAATTGCACAGGAAACAAACTCTCTAAAAGTGACTGTAATGGATGAAATGAATGTGAGAAGTAGTGTGTTATAACACTCTTTCCAGTTTTTACACCAAGCTAATGCTAACTGGGTCCTGTCAGTATCTTCATATTTACTGTACAGACAATTGTATCAATCTTCTCATGTAATTCTGAACAAGAAAGCTAATCTCCAAAAATGTTTTCAAATATCAAGCATGTGTCAAGAATCATTTAGAACATCGTTATCACCTGGGATACGGCTTTTCGTCATCATCAACAAACTGTGCTGTCAGCTGTAGGTTGCTGCTGCATTTGTTGTCTGAGCCGCACTCCTTCTGAAAGTTAATCTGAAAGAAATGCAAATAACATCATATTACATCAGCTGTATACGCATTCATCACTAAAATATAGCCTGTGACTGTAGTGTCTATGCACCACTCCATACCTCGGCCCTTTGGGTGAGCTTCTGCTCCTGGCTAAAAATTGGGAATGAGTCCAAGTTCTGTAGCGAGCGTCTGGATTTCGGTTTTTGTTCTTGTAATGACATGTTGAGGGAAAAGACCACTGGTTCCAGTTTGTCCCTCACAGGCCCCTGTAAATCCATCCAAGAATTATATTCTAGTCTCAATAGGCACATGACCATTAGATGAATGCAGCTTGTCAAATAAAGCTGTTTAAACGTCACTTAACAAACACGTGCACATACACTAACACACACATGCAACATACTTGATCGGAGACTTACCACCACAGACAGTGACAGATCATGACACTTGCGTTTGGAAGACGAAAGGCTCAGGACGCCAGTGAATGTGTCACCATTACTACCCTGGAAACGAACGCGAGGGCTTCTTCTTCTCTCCATGTCGGCCTCCACTGTGTACTTCACCGCTTTACAAAGTGCAAACACACACAGTGTCATGGAACTTTTCAACCAGCTCATGTGTTCAGTAAATAATAATAATAACAATGAAATCAAGAATTCACATCAGGATCTGTGAGCAGCCAGTGAATCAGTATCTCAGTTTGTTTTATAGCAACTTAAACACATTTATTTGCACAATAATTCGGTAACGTATGTGGAAAAAAAACTTCTTACCGATATCTTTCTTGAAGTCTTTGTTTCCATTGCTTAGCGTGAAGGACATACACAGAGTAACTGTGATGCTGTGAAGTACAAAGAAAAGTCAAACAGTTTGTTCAAAAGCCACATAAGGATCAGAATTAAAGATTCTAAGATGACATCTCACCATGATTTATTTCCAGAACACTTATTCGGATCCACAATCTTGGGTTTGACAGTAAAGTCTTTAGTTAAGTGGACGACCGGCCGAGCTCTGAAAACCAAGATATGAATAAAATCAATCAAACTGTTACCGTGTAATACCCGAGTTATATCATCATATGAAACATGTGAACATATTGACCAATTTCAGACAAAAGATTGCAATGAACAAAGTGAGAAACATTTTCACATGATTGATTAGTGATTGTATTTTTACTGGTGGCAATTGAAAATGTTTTTCTTCACAGATCTTTTCAAGAACTAATCCTTTCACTTGACTTAAACCCCGATGATCTTTAAACAATCTGCAAAATGCCAGCATTTGTCAGAGCCAGAAACTGTACAAACAAAAAGAATCATTGGATTTTCAACTTAACAACGGTCTTTGAACTAATCATCTGTGACATGCAGCTCCATCATGAAACCAATTTAAGCTTAAAATAGTAATATATATTCAAAATCTCTTCTACATTTCTTTATTAAAATTTTACAAAAAAAAGTAAATCCTTTTCTCTAGCCGGTTTCTGTCACTGGCAACTCTGCTGTGACCATTAGTCACGTAACAAGAGGTCTGGGACGTTTCAGCTGAACTAGGCTGACCAGATATTAGACAAGTATGAAAACATATTTAAAATCTAAGTAGTAAAATTACCATTATTCCCAGTATAGCTAACACCTCTGGGCACTTGGAAAAATGATTTCTATGCTCATCCCAGGTGTTTTTTAAATTTTTGCAAATTAAATTGTCAAAGAAATTCAACTTTTTTTTTTTTTTTAATATGATTTACAGCATAACAACTTTTTCATACTGAACAGAATATGATTTCTGACTACTGGGAGGATGTTGTAGTGAAAAACGACACACCGGTCGACAAAAATGTGACAGGAATGAATAAAACACCCAGGAACTGCGTGAGGTTCAGATGGTTGATGCTGTTCTTAATGCATAACCATCTCTGACCCACTGACTCCCTGCTAATGTGCATGTAATGTAATGTAATATTTAGGATGTGGTTTATTGTTGTTGTTGCTTTTTTTTATGTCTTTATATTAAATACTCAGTGAGCCTTTGAATTGCCCCTCGGGAATAAATAAAATTATTTGAACTGAACTGAATTTTCTGTTTAGTGAGAGGCCTCTGAAAGGATTCAACAAATCCAACTTGCACTAGACGCTGTTAACACACAGAATATGCAAATATTTTAACTTGAACAACAAAAAAGAGACATTGCGTTGTTTATTTAGTTGGATATTTTCATAGTTTCTACCTGAGCAGGGCGACGCGGTCGTCCAGAGAGCCCACCAGCATGTCGGGGTAACTGTTGTCGTCCATGTCCATCCCTCCATTGATGGAGTAGCCGAAGGTCTTGAATCCCAACGACTTACCCTCGATCACCTGCAGAGGGCGCCAGTGACACGCAGGATTTATACATGTAGAGGTACATGGTATCAAGTTTGAACTGTCCATCACAGAATTCCAGATATTACCTGACTGGCCTCCTCTGAGATTCCTTTTTTACTTCCCATCCATATGTAGACCTTTCCTGTGCCGGTGAATGGTGCCCCCACTGCAAAGTCTGCAGACATCAGCAGTAAAGGTAAAATATTTTGAGAAAACAAAGGCAAGCTGCTAAAAATGATCTGAGCAAGGTCTGTGTAGGAACATATTAGTGCTCTAGGTGGCAGCATAGTACAATTTTATTAGTCTGGAAAGCAACTGTGGACTTTGTGTTTCCCTGCTGGGATTATTACTTCACAACAATTTCATAAATTCCTTTGGTAAACCATAACCTGCAGTCCGGCCATGAAGTTGGATTTGTCCATTTGGAGCTCTGAAAACTCGCATTACTCATACGTTCATCACATGTAAGTGTAAAACCAATGCTGCGTTCAGAGTCGTACCTTGGAATCCATCTTGGTTGATATCCCCAATGGCAGCCACCGCGATGCCGAACCCAGAGTCGGACGGACCCTTCAGCACCACGGTGGATTTATTCTGGAAAGATCCGTTCTCGTTCATGAAAATGTACACGGCTCCTCCCTGATCCTTCATACGGTCAAAGTAAAACGGTGCCCCCACGATCAGGTCATTCCAACTGGAGAAAGGCAGGAGAGAAATCTATCTTGTTATAAAAATACATGCATTCGTAAACTTGCCAGAAGAAAACATTTCAAATACGATCCAACATACTTGTTTATTAAGCTTGATAAAACCTTGCTTCTTCCTAAACCAGTGATTTTATTTTATGCTCCACTCAGATCATTAAGGTCCTCCACTGCTTTTCTTTTAAATCTTTCTTATGTGTCCCATAAAGGCCAGTTTCTGTTTTTATGCTCCTAAACTGTGAAATACACGTCAGCATGATTCTTTTGGCTTTTATTTCATCTTATAGCCTAATGCTATGAACTTTGCTTTTAAATTCTAATGCATGTTTGTATGAAGGTGCTATATAAATAAAGTTAAACATTATATTCCCTGCATGTCGAATGAACATAATCCCGATAATGCTACAGGCCCGCCAGGTGTCTTTGGTGCATTAAAGGGAGGCACGTGATTTCCCCATGATGTCATGATGAACACCTTATCTGAGCTGCTGAAAGGACGGGTTTTCTTCTCTCAGTACATCAGTGTCGTGCATTCTCCGCATAACAGAGCTGTTCATAGCCACAAAGCATTCAAGCATGAGACAGCTCAAGATACAGATACAGTTACGGTCAACCTACAGACACGTGGAAACAGATTACTTGTGTTTTTCTTCTTTTCCATCTGTGAGTTTGGAGAAGAAGCAGCTGGTTTTTTTTTTGGCTCCTTGTAATGTTAATGCACTGATTCTTGTTCATTTGCAGGCAAATTTGATTCCCAGCTTGCATAATATGAGATTCAAACAAGAGATGGTGTGCCAATCTTTTAAATATATACAAGAACATAACAAAGCAGAATCAGTTTCACTCTATCTGGTGTGTGGAAACGCACTCGTCATTGTTGAGGTCGGTGACTGCCAGGCTGTTTCCGAAGTAGGAGCCCACTTGTTCGCCGGGGATGGTTTGCACCTGCTCGAAGCTGGTCTTCTTCGCTAATATCACAGATCCCTTGGACTCGTCCCTGGGAGCTCCTGTCACCAGCGTGTAGTCGTCAAGGCTCAGCAGCTTCTTCTCTTCAAGAACTGAGTAGCCTGTGAGAGAAAGTGTTTGAGATTCACACTCGAAAGCAGAGGAAAGTCAGTTATAACTTATGCCTGCCAGTGATTTCTCATTTTTAACCCTATTCAGGACTTTTGGGGTCCTTTGTACCCCAGGCCATTGGGTTTAGGTGACAGGGATTGTACTTTTTACATTTTTATTTTTTTAATTCTCATGCATTTGGAACCAAAAATACATCAACTTATCAGAAAATGTACTTAACATAGTATAAAAGTCTATAAAGAATACCAACAAATATTGTGTTAATGATGGACAGATAAACAAATACTTACCCATATAAATGTATCGTCTTTTCAGCTGTCCAAAGTTTAGGTCAGCAGAGTCCCATTCGTACCCTGGTTCCGGGTTTCTCCACGTTACATGAACATTTCCTTCATACCGAAGCAGAATCACAAAGCAAATTCAAAATCAGCTTCACACAGTTTTCCAGACAGAGAATAATCCCAGTGTTAGACCAACACCAGAATTCAGCAGACTTGCACAGAGTTTTAATCCCCCTCAGTGAAACCAGCTTATTATTTCAGCATTAAGTAACAAAACACAGTTTTTGGCATCAGCTCCCACCTTGCCACATGTAGCTGCCCGTCGCGCCCACGTACACATCAGTTTCTGTCATGCCGCCGGAGATGCCCATGTTGCACATGCCCTCGAACTCCATGTCGAGGTTGGGGTTGCAGACCTCGTAGCTGTGAGTCTGCCACTCGTCGTTGGAGTCGAAGGTCAGGTCGTTGCTCCTCACAAAACACTTTCCTATCATCCGCCGCTGCTCCTCTGTGCCGCCTTTCACGATCTTCACATAGCGATGCCCGCATGCCTGGAGAGGAATGTGATTTGGGGAACGGATTGTTCCAAGGACATGTTTCATATCAAAAAGCTCGATTGAATGTATTTCTGCTGAGATTAAGTCAAGGCTGACATTATTAAAAAATAACTCTCTGACTTTCTACTGTGTAGAGCACATTAAACATGTAACAACAGTTAATTATAGTCTTATACGATTACAATCAGTCTCTTTGCCAGATATCAATCTTTGTTAAAAAGTAATTCAAACATGTTAAGATGTTCGCACCATGCTGTTGTATAATGCAAAAGAACATTTTTAAATATTTTAATTACACCATTTATTGGCCAAACACAATCCAAAATATGAAATGTTGTAAAAATCTGAATGAAAATGAATGACAAAGGGGCTTGAAGAAGAGTGTAGAGGCTGCTGCTTTCATGGTGACCGTTTCCAGCAATGAATGAAGTGTCAGATGTGAGATCCGGTAAAATAAATGATTGTAAATAATTAAATGGGAGAGTTAAGGGCTAATTTACTGATATGCATGTATATATCGAGAGCAGCTGTGTGAATAAAAGAGCAACTGCTGACAGGATGAATGAATAATTATGTCGTCTGTGACACTAAATAATGAAATAACCAGGGTGTCATCGCACCCCCTCTACGCTCAGTGTCACTGACTAACAGAATGAAACAGGGTGTCATCTCACCAGCACGCGTCCCGCCGGCTGACCCCTCTGACTGGCCACCGTCACGCCCAACCACATGCCCTCCACCATCTCGGAAGGATTTGCTGTGGATGTGTCACACGGCTTGGGTCAAGTGTTGAAGTACAAGTTGGAAACTGTTAGCAGGTTGGTCCTGACAGCGAGCTAATTAGACAAGCACTGGCTTAGGACTGTCTACATTTATTTGTTTTTGATGGTATAAAGCGCGTTTTTGTTTCACTGCTTTGTGTTTTATTTAGAGATTACACACCTTTAACGCTGAGAGTTCACAACCAGCTTTTTAATGTGAAGCGTGACAGTACATAGTCCGCTGTGTTAGATCATCTGAAAGACTGAAAGCAACATAAAGCATGACTATGGTGCACAGAGTCAAAGGGAAACCAACCCAAACAGTGAAGCTTCATTCACACTGGATCATGCCCCGACAAATATTAACCACAAAAATGTGCTGTGACGGCAGCAGCAGTCATCCTAACCTCAACATTAAAAGTGATGCAGAATCCTCCTATTATGGCTCCTACTTGTAGCCCTGAGGGTATGAGTGGAGGCAGAGGGGGGGTCTAAGTCTATCAGTTAAGAACCATCAATTAAGAAATGATGCACTTTCAGAGTTTTTATGTTTGAGCTCGTCACGTAGGTGCAGCGAATTATCCTGAATGCTACGAGGCATGAGGGGAAATTGAGATTGTCTGACACACCAGCTCTGTCCTGACTGTAAAAGAGGAAGTTACTTGACTGTTCTTTAAAGGTTATTATTTTCAGTTCCTCACTTGACAATCAAGGAACTTCACTTCAGTGCATGCATGTGTTGCAGCAGTACACCTGTATTACACAATAAGGTCTGTTTCATAAAGAGAACTAATCCATCCATCCATTATCTACACCGCTTAATCCTCACTAGGGTCTTGGGGGGCTGGAGTCTATCCCAGTTGACTTAGGGTGAAGGCAGGGGACACCCTGGACAGGTCACCAGTCTATCACAGGGCTACACTTAGAGACAGACAACCAAGCACACTCACATTCACACCTACAGACAATTTAGAATCACCAATTAACCTCAACATGTTTCTGGACTGTGGGAAGAAGCCGGAGAACCCGGAGAGAACCCACGCTGCACAGGGAGAACATGCAAACTCCACACAGAAAGATCCTGGATGTCCTCACTGGGACCCTTCAGCCTTTAATAAAATTATGTAATGTGCTCTGTGGCTCTAAAGGAAGCTTTGGCAAGTCAGTGAAGATAAACCCTGTGAAAACTAGACCTATCTTGGCTTGAGTTTGGGGGAATTTTTTCAACAAAAAAACTGGGATCATGGCATTCGAAAAATGTCATTCCCAGGTAGGTAGGGAGGGTCTATCAAAAATGCTTTTGGGTGAGTTGTGCCTTATGTAGGGTTTTGGAGAGTTTGCCCTCTACGACATGTGAACTTTTGCTGCTTAAAATGTGGCAATTATGTTTGACAAAAGTCTCATTAAGTGCAACATCACTTGATTGCTCACAAGATACAACATTTTAGTGTTTTTTGTTGTCACACCAGCTTTACCTCACAGTCCATCGTGCACTTTGGTCCAGACCGTAGACTGTACATAAAAGGTGGACGTAGCCTCTGGATCTGAGAAGTGAAGGCATTTCTAAGATCCAGCAGGGAGTGACTCTAGGTGTAAAAAGAACCTGGACTGTATAGAAGTCTATGAGAAAATGATTCTATTTTTTTTGCTGCATTTATTACCTCAGTAAACATTTTCTTAATAAGTTTATGGTCTCAAGCACAATTAAAATTCTTTTTTAGTACAGCACAATGTTAATTTTGTCAATTCTGATCCCATTTAGAGCAAAAATTCAAAAAGCCAAATTCAAAACTCAAGGCCTCCAAACGTTAGTCCACAAATCAGTGGGTGATCACACAGTGGGAGCTGGAAATATCAAAACAGCTACTGGACGGTTTGGCATGAAATTGTTTTACAGGTTTATCGAATCGCCAAAAGATGAAACGCAATTCCTTTCGTGAAACTTTTCTACTAGAATTAATGGTTTTGTGTGAAATGTCAACCTCTACTGGACGTATTTCCACAGTATCTAGTGCCAATATTCATGTTCACCAACAGGATGAACTGTAATAATTTAGGTGATTCTCCGAGTTCTCATCTCGCGCCACCGTCGGGTTTTTTTGGACGGTACTTTGGCATTCAAGAAATACCTGCAAAACTAATGACATTCTCATCCACCTCAGCTGCACTTTTTATGTGGTGTTCGCCTAGTGTTAGAGAATAAACATCATACCTACTAAATATTTAACTGTAAGCGTTCATATCAGAATTTATCTCAATGAAACTCTCCCAGCGTCACAGCGCTGTTGACGTGGCTCCAGTCATGTTTTCACATCAGTGCTAATTCCTTAGGCTCGCTTAAATCTGTTATAGCACTGCGACTCTGCATTCCCCTGCTAAATACCAAAACAACTAATCACGTCAGAGAGCTCAGCCTCATGCTTACTTGTGCTGACCAGGTCCATTCTGGAGCAGTCGGTGGAGTCTGTGGTCATGGGGCAGGAGTAAACTGCACCTGTTTCATTGACATTTCGTAGAGCTTTGGCTTTCTCTTTGGGTGCTCCTGCAAGAAGCCTAGACACACATAGACAGAAAAGCAAAATATTAGATCATATCAGAGCTGTGTCATGGTGCTGGAGACAAAACAAAGCAGAGACAGTAGCGGCGGCACAGACGATTTAACAGACGGTGTTTTTAGTCTAAACACAGAAAATGTATCCTACAGCTTCATGTTCAGGTATATTTGAATGTTTTTCACCTGGAATTTAACAGCGGGATCGTTAATAATGTATATATGAGTTATGGCTGACACCTGAGACGTGTACTCAGCTCCGAAAAAGTGAGCCGATCCACGTGAAGAGAAAGAGTGAAGCAGTCAGACGGTGACCCGTGACAAGTCTGGGCACCACACATACAAAAACAGACACACAAAGTGACCCCTTGGTGATGGAACTGATCTTTTTGTCCACTCACCCGGACACTCCCTACATCAGCGCCTTTTAACACTCCACAGAACTTTGAAGTACAGGGATTATACCTCTCCAAGTCCCTGTGCTGGAACACGATGTTTACCGTCAGCACGAGATTTATTAGCTCCACTTTGTAGGTGGAAGGTGTGGACAGTCTTGTTTATAGTGCCTGTGTGAGTGACATATAACCTGCCGTAGTGTGTCCGGAAACAAAAGCGCATAGTGGTGCAGCCAAAGCGCAAAATTTACACATCCCTCTCTTTTCATTCAAACTGTCGTTGGTTCAATGCTGACAGCGAATTGCTACCATTGTTTGCCGGCTGTGGTGAACAGTGGAAAGTGGAAAACGGTGAGTCAAGCTTGAGGGCATATTAACCTCAGCTGTAAGGCAGCTGCCTCTCTAATAGACAAGTTAGAATAAATACAGATAGTGGGTGGAGGCTTAAAAAGACACCTTCACAGTAAGGTCATTGTGCCCTCAAGTTAAAACATCTCTCATGAGTCAACCCTACTTCAAGACAGATCTTGATTTTGCTCTCGGAGGTGAAACATGACAGAAAGATGTGGCATGCTGGGAAAATATTCCAGAGATTTAGTCAAATCTGGTGAGCTATGTCCGCTCTGATATTACTCACAGGTTATATGGTGGGGTTTAACTATACAAACACAGTGAGATTGCGTACCAGACTCGACAACATGCCTTCATATATACGTGCAATCTAATCATGAGGACCTATCAAGAGCCCAGACAGAAATATTTCCTCTTTGATGTGCCACCTGAGCATGAAAAGACTCAGACATTCAAAAACAAACTTTGTCTTATCGTCTAAATTAGTCATGTGAGTTTCCTTTCACTGCTGATTTTAGATTCAATTATCTTATTACCTTATTTAAAACTTGTCCATCTGTGGAGATGACAAAAGTTCTGATCTCAGGTCAGACTGCGGCACACATTATACCTTTATCTGGTCTCTTTACATAAACCAGCCGTGTTTCTTGGACTATATTAGAGGGAAATATCATTATGTTGTGCGTTTTAACAATACAGTATAGCACCGACATTTTCCAGCCAGCCTTACAGTATGTGAAAGGTTATCCCTTCTGTCTGCTACCAGATGGGCATTATGGGCAATGAATCAATTATCTTGGAGAGTGATGACAAACAGGAAGAGCCAAGATGGCCTCTGAGGTGCAGCAGTTTCCAGTGGACTGGGAGGAAGAGGCCTTGGTTCAGGTAATCATTCAGTAATGTGGACAGCAACTCAGATTCCTCAGAGGGTTGTAGCAGTGAATGGGACTGAAAGATATGTGGAGAGGAGCCTCAGAGTGCGTCTGTGGAGGCTCATTCTTTAGCGCATCTGTGTACGTATATGTGCATATGTGCTTCCACACTACAGACGACGTAGCTGTGTTTTTTCTGCTTTTCTGCTCCTATGGCTGCTAAATTGAAAATCATGGCCACCCAACATGTTTTACAGCTATGAGCAACACAAAATGTCTCAAAACACTGACTTACAAGGTTAGCAAGTCTTGTGGGAGAACCAAGTCACACAATACCTTATGGAGAATTATGCAAAGCATTTATATACAGAAAGAAAGAATGAGGCCAAGCCTGGGAGTGAGCAACCTTTGTGTGTTATCAACACCAGCCAGTGTGAACTTTACTCTTAATAGACATTTCGAAGAAGTGGGGCACAGAGTCCAGCACTAATAACCCATGCTTTAAGGGCTTGGTTAATCTTTGCTGGCTGAGTTCTGGTGGAAGCCAAAGACCTGTTAATCCGACCTCATAAACATACTCTCACCGTCTCAGTGTCTCAGCAGAGCCACGTGGGTCGCCTGTGTTTGTTGTGGAAATTCAACACGGCTGATTGGCGCCGTGAGGTTTGACATACAGTGAAGACAGACCTAACATCAGCAGTATTTTCAGGTAGCAGGGTTCATAATGGAAGTTTAGTGTCATTTTAATTTAAATAGAAATTAAACTAAACAAGCCCCGCCGCGACCCCACTGAGAATTAGGCGGTGTATAGATAATGGATGGATGGATGGATGGATGGAGACTGAGAAAGTTTAAGCGTAGTTGTTATGTTTAGTCGACTCGACCTTTTGGATGACCCTGACACTACTCTTGACCCTTTAGCTTCATATGTTCGATCTCCTGTGACAAACCTTGGATTGATCTTTGACAGCTTTTTCAAAATTGACCAACAGATCACCTCAGCGGCCAAAAACTTTTTGTTTTTCTCTTAAGACTTTTAATTAAGAAGAAGCTTATTTCTGTCTCATTACTTTAACCCTTTATAGGGCACTCCTTGAAACACTTGGAAAATGAAAATTTCGACCCTAGGGTGTTATTGAAGGATATTTCAAGATGTTTTACTTTTGTGACTTAAAAAAAATAAATAAATTGTTGCAAACCCAATTTTCTTTGGATTGTGGTTTTGGCACTAATCTCAAACAATAAATCAAAGTGGAGTTCAATGGAAACCAGTAACAAAGTGTTTATAAAGTGCCTGGAACATTTGTTTAGTGACATTTTTTGTAAGGTAGTGATATTGGCACTGATATAAAAACTAAATCAAAGTGTACATGGTTCTTCAACCTCAAGGACAGGCACAGGGTGGACATGTTGAACGTAGAGCACATAGAAGAATGTACTTAATGTGTATGGGCCTCCCTCCGCTGTCTGTTTCAGAAGATTTTATGGTTTGTTTTTAAGGTGTTAAAAGGGTTGGTGCCACCTTATTTGGCAGAACTCTTAGATCTTCATACCCGCTTAGAGCACTGAGATCAACCACCAAGACGCTCCTGGATGTTCCTGACACTCCTAATAACTGGAACAGTTTACCTTCCTATGTAGGAACACACATTTTTAATTGTGTTGTGAATTTTTTTTTCTTGTATTAATTTCATCTTTTTATTCAGATTTAGCTTTAATTCATTTAGCTATGGCCTGTTGTTTCACTTGTACAACACTTTTGTTCAACTTTTCTTGTTTTTTTTAATATCAGCTTTTTAAATAACTTTGGCTTTGATCCGGGGTTTAAACTGTTGTGTCGGTGGTTTTACAAATTCCTGCCGTCCTACATGTCTGACAGGCTACAGATTGTATCTCATGCAGTAATGCTCCATCACACGTCTTAAATCTATGAGGCAGTGAATACTGAATTGGAGCTTGACTTTAAAAAGCTACACTGAAAATCTAATCGCAATATCTGTCTGAATTTTCTCTAAATCCTTTAGCTCTAACACAATAACACACTGATGCAAGGTGCTCACCTGCCATCAGGAGTAACTTGGGGTTCAGTATCTTGCCCCAGGACACTTTAGCATGTGGAGAGGTTAGAATTGAACCATCAACTCTGCGACACTTGAGCTACAGATGTACCTATTGGCTTCATATTTACTGTAATAAGAGTGGTATCAGTCCTGTTGCCTAACAAGAAAGTGAATACGCTTATTTCCTAAAGTGCTTAACAATGCTTAACAATAACATGAGCTGTCCTTACTATCATGATAGCCATGGATGCATGAAGGAGGATGATCGTGCAACCCAGCCAGAGCATACATCATTACTAAATCGTCCTACACATTGCTGTTGTCTGCTGAAATCCTCAGACGTCAACTTTTTTTATTATCTAAAAAGAGTTGCTTTCAGCTTGACAAACCTACATTTTCTCACTTGATGTACGGGGGTTTGGCAGCCACATAAACCTGACATAAAGCGCTGACTGGACCATGACAACACACCTCATATTCCGTTCTGTTCCAACTGCAACATTGTGAGCTCGCCTCCTATCTCCTCTCCTGCTCATCACCTCCTCATAAACAGCCTGTCAAAGGCCCAGCAGAGGGAAGCGAAGGAGGGGGGGGGGCAGCTGCATTCCTACTCTGAGGACATGTTGAAATTCGCCCCTTCTGCCTAACAAGTGATCGGAGCGGCTGGCTAAACCAAACATTTGCTACGGCAAACACACCCAGCTAAGGTGAGCGCGGCTGCATTCTTCACATCAGGAGTAAAGAAAATCCCAGAAGAAGGGAGTAAGATGAACTACTGTATCTCCGTATCAGTGGTGCTGAGCTAAACAAACAGACGTCAGTTTATCCATCCATCAAGGACTTGTTGGTTTGGTAAACAAATGTCAGACTCAACACAAATAACTCTCTGGTGGTTCATTAAAATTAAGCCATAATCCCCCCCTCCATAATTCTTACCCCCCACCTGACTATTTGTGAGTCACAATAACACCAACAACAGTGAAACCAGGAAATCCAACTTAATTAAAGATGACTAAACCCTTCTGGATGACATTTCCTTTCTAACTCATAGGCTTTTGCAAGATTTACAAGAGGAGACAGTGTGCAGGACAAGTACATTCATTTTCATCTCAATCCAGTTTGAACAGGACTGTTGTGAGACACAATACAGAGAGTATATAACAGGCAAACAGCCTTTCACCTTCAGAAACCCTTAATGTCAAGAGATGTAAATGTTTATAAATGGGTAGGTGAGAGCAATTGTGTGACAAAGAGGAAATGTGAGTAAAGCAAAGAGCAAAAGAGAGAACTTTCTGCTTTTATCTCATTGTTTAGCACATTGTGT